AAAAATCTCAAGAACAGAAGACCCTACAGAGGGTTGGATGATGTGACCTCTGGGCTGCAAAGACTTCATAGCTCTAAGCCATCATTAAGAGGGTTTGTGTGAAGCTGTTGGGATCAACCTCTGACTTCCCTCCCCCATCCTTAACATTCTTCTGTCACTATTGGGGCATCTCAAACTAGGACTAATTTAGAACTAGAAATTCACATACTGTGAATTGCCTATCAGCTGTCTCCTGCACTCCCAATAGCCCTGTGGCCTTATCCTACCCCTTATCTCCACACAGAACTTCCTGATGTTCAAATGCTTACTTCCATCAATCCTAATTTTAATTGCTGGAAATGAAGTAGTGCTGCAATCTAAGATGAGAGAAATAGGAAAATCTCTTCTGTGCATTCATAACTACAGTCTCTTTACAACAAAGACATGAATGCAGAAAGATTTCTCAGAATGAATGTATTTTGTCACAGTAAATTTCAACCAACTTTAATACTCCTTGTGTATTTCTGATTGTGTAAAGAAATTAACACTGTATCCACTTATCTCTTTAAATGTTCTATTTCTACATACTCTTTAATGCCAAAAACAATACAAAATATACTTGTTCTGAGAAAGGAGATCAATGAGAAGAGTTTAAAAGAAACAGAAAGAAATGACATGTCCTGGAGGTTCTCTTCAGCCCTAGACAAGGACTATTTTAATTTTTTTTCAGTTTCTCCTTATCTTTTGGCTCTGGCTAATCGATTTCTTCATTTCACAACTGACTAAAATAAAGATGTCTTTCATGAATTAGACAACATGCATACGGTTTCTGGATAGATAAAAAGTGGAATCAATTTAAAACAGCACCACTTCACTAGTATCACTGCAACCAAATTTCCTGTTTAAGTTACAGAGAGAGACCACTGATGAATACAGAAATTACAGGACAGAAGGCTGAGCAGAATGAACAAGATTGTATTTTGCAGATCAAAGCCTCATCTGGTCTAAACATTTGTTACGTTAAAAAATACATATATTGCTTCCACAGCATCTCTATGATCATCCTCGGGGCCGAGAGAGAGTAACAGAAATGGAAGAATATCATCCCTCATATCTGGAAATAATTTTGTAGACCTTTGTCATAACATATAGTTACTACAGCCTAACTTCAAATTATTATCTATTTTGATAACTAAATTATAAAGCTTCAATGAGAAATTATAAATGTACATCCTTAATCAAATTAGGTGCACTAAAAACCCCTGTTCAACTCAAAGCCTCTGCATAGACTGAGCACTGAATGTAAATTCTATGTTCTCGACCAACTGCAGAAAAAAGGTATTACGTTGAAAAGATGACAAATATGTCCAAATTATTGCGAACCTACTGAAGTCATGCCAAAAAAGAGATGGATGAATACAGCTGGTTTCCAGTGAAAGGGAGAAGGCTGAGATACTTACGGATTTCTTTCCTTAGTCTTCATAGTCAATCTTGTGTCCCTGAACTTCTTAGTGGAGGTCAGGGAGCAAAATCCATCCCAGTGTAAGAGCGGAACAAGTCTGAGAACTCCTGATGAGTCTGAATGAGTACAAGTCTGTGGAGCTGGACAATGCATTCCAGGATTATGAAAGAACTTGCTGATGTGGTTGCTAAATTGCTGTGCACCATATTTGAAAAATCATGTCTGTCAGGTGAGTCCCCAGTGACTGGAAAAAGGGAAATATCACTCTAATATTCAAGAAAGTGAAAAAAGAAGACCTGAGGAACTCGGGGCAGTGAATCTCATGCCTGTGCCTACGAATATCATGAAACAGACTGTCCTGGAAGAGATGTTATGGCATATGTGCGATGAGGAGGTAATCTGAGGCAGCTAGCACAACCTCACCATGACCAGATCATGCCTGACCCATCTAGTCACCTTCTATGATAGATTGATGGCATTGGTGGACAAAGGAAGGGCAACTAATGTTATCCACGTGGACTTGTGCAAGGCCTTTCATATGGTCCTGTAACACATCCTTATCTCTAAACTGGAGATATATGGATGTGAAAGCTGGACTACTAGGTAAAGATAAAGGATTGGTGGGATGGCTGTAGCCAGATGGTTCTTGACAACAGCTCCATGTCCAGGTGGAGGCTGGTCACCAGTGGTGTTCTTCGGTGGTCTGCCATGGACTGGTGCTCTTCAACACTATTATCAGTGACATAGGCAGTATCCTCAGCAAGTTTGCTGATGACACCAAGCTGAGCGGTGCAGTTGACACAATAAAAGGAAGAGAAGCCATTCAGAGGGATCTGGACACACTTGACGGATGGGAGCACTAGAATCTAATGAAGTTTAAAAAGGCAATCCCGGAGATAAGTGGACTGGGAGAAAAACTCATTGAGAGCATCCCTGCAGAAAAAGACTCAGGGGTTTTGGTGGATGAAAAGCAGGATATAAGCCAGCAGTTTGTGTTTGCAGCCTCGAAGGCCAACAGTATGCAAAAGGGGGGCTGGCTGTAGAGAGAGGAAGGGGATTGTTGTCCCCCTCTGGTCTGCCTTTGAGGAACCATCTGGAGTACTGTGTGCAGGCCTGGGGCATCCAACACAAGAAAGATGTGGAGCTATTGGAGTGTACCAACAGGACAGCCATGAGGATGATCAGAAGGCTGGAGTACCTCTCTTCCGAAGAATGGCTGAGGGAGCTGCGCTTGGTAAGCCTGGAGAAGAGAAGGTTCTGGGCAGATCTCATTCCAGTTCTTGAAGGGAGCTGAGGGGGAATGACTTTTTAACCAGTCTGATTAGGACAAGGGAGAATGGCTTTAAACTAAAAGAGAGGAGATTCAGACGATTAGATGTTAGCAAGAAATTTTTTATTCAGAGAGTGGTGAGGCACTAGAATGGTTTGTTCAGAGAAACTATGAGTTTCTAATGGCAGGAGTGTTGGAACTAGATGATCTTTGAGGTCTCTTCCAACCTAAGCCATTCCATGATTCTATGATTCCAACAATAAATTAATAATCCAAAAGAGGACTGCAGTGGAAGAGAAGTGGAAAAAAAATGAAAAATAAAATGTAAAAGAAATTTTCCATGTTACACTGGGCAGTCTGTGGGAAATAACTGTTTTTACATGGTTTTGATCAGAAATATTTATTTCTTTGCTGACATTTAAAGAGTTTAATATCAAACATAAAAACCCTCCAAAAAAAGTAACAGAAACAATTTTACAATCATATTTTTTCAAAAATAAAATGCACTGTAAGACATCATAATCACAGGAAAAATATTTCCACCGAGTTTTAGTTATCACTTACAGTTTTTTAAAAACTTTACAGTTTTTAACTGATCAACTTTGGAGTCTACAATCTGCTATTTATCCATCTGATATAGAAAAAGTTGACATAATTGAGTGAAGACTTTATATCTCTGATCTTTCTGAAGGGACCAAGTCGTTTGCAAGGGTATACTGAAGAATAATTTGCTCCAAAAAACAAACAAAAAAACCCGACAACTATAGGCCTATCTAGATTATAGGTATTGTAGTTATTTCTTTAATTCTTTTTGTTATTTTCTTTTTCTCAGTTTTTTCCTGAATCCGCATTTTTATATTTCAGCACGGTTTTTTTTAAATACTACAGGAAGAAGTAAAGTCCTTGTAACTGCAGTAACTCAGATACAATAATTTTATAAATCTCTTGGACCTAAAAAATCCATATTTAGAATAATATAATCACATATTATAATTTATTTAATAGGAAATAAAAATATCTTTTCCATGTAGCCATTTTTTATAGTTTCATATCCACTCATTTCTCATGAGTGTGGTTAGGAAATTTTGCTAAGACATGAACAAAATTAAGGGCATAAACTAACTCTTAATTATATTCGACTTATAAGATTTCATAATTAAATTAATTGCCAACCATGAGATCAGGCTGCCCAGAATCTCACTCAACCTGGATGAAACTATTTAAATTACCTAAAAACATAGGATGCAAATTTAGAGACATTTAGAATAGACGCAAATACTCTTAAATCACAGTTGTAATAAGAATTTGGGTCACCTAAGACACAGATATACATCCTGGTAAGAGAATAAGAAAGCACAGATTACACCACAATTACTCTTTGATTATTCTAATTATTAAAGAGTTGCTGCACTGAATGACAGTTCAAGAAAATTAAAAGTTTGATAGTGCTGAAAGGGTAAGGATTGATAGTGCTGATGTCTTGTTTCCTCATTTTTTCTCTCTCTCTCTTGCTTTTGATCCAGATCCTTCCTTCCCACCCTCAATAACAGTTTCCCTACCCTGCCTCACTGTCCAGGATACAGCATAAACGTGTTCTCAAGATTAAATATTTAATGAAGTAAACAGCTTTTCTTTTTTCCAGGTTGTTTCCCTGACATTTTAGAGAGTTAGTTATGCTCCTGTGATCAAATAAATGCTAAATGGTGCAAGGTAAGCAATAGACATATGTGGCTAAAAGTGTGGAAAGATAAATAGGACAGGGAGTTCTCATTCTGCACTGGAAAGCTGTTGATGTGCCTACGCCTAGCTCATGTGTCCATGTCTTGCATAGCACATCTTCAAGAGGAAGTACACTGTCCATTTATTTAATCTGTGATCTGTATCAAAGTTTCAGGATGTGTTAGTATCTACTGAGAAAAATAAAAGGCAAAAGAATTTCTGCTCAATAAACGTTCAAGTGGGACCATGAATATTTAGCAAATCCTGCACTGGAAGAAGTAATCATGAAAGTACGACAGGTAATTCAGCTCAGTAAAGTAAAATACAAGCTGGAAAGGTCAGCGTAACTTGCCCATCTGGGAACGAGGAAGTAATGTTCTCTCTTTAATGAGTTTAACCGTGATGAACTTTGAATAGGTTGTGGTGCAAGAGACAATACTTTCAGAATGACAAATCAGTACTCACCTCACTTTAAACACGTGCCTTTAGCTGAGTTTGTATCCTAGATCCTTATATTCCCATACAGTCAGTGAACAGAAACAGACTGTTAAAGACTGTGACTCATCCTACCTGTTTTAGGTACATATTGAAGGGCAAGACAAATCTGAGAAGTTCTTTCTTCACTGACTTCCAACAGGGAACCTATGCAGGCTGTTGTAAGTATCCACACTTAGAAAAAGCTGCAGTCACAGTAGCAATCAAGATGGATATGAAAGAGAAACAGCAAAAATAAATCAGAAAAAAATACAGAGATTGCAACAGCAAACAGCAAACACTGACAACTGCAAATACTGTTTGAAGGGCCTGCTTTCAGAGTCTGAAGATTTCACGTATGTCCAAGATTGATGCCTACCCTTTTTTCTCTCTGCTCTCAAATCAACTAAAAAATTACGGGCAAATCCTACTCATCTTGATAAAGTTAGGATTTGGACCTAAAGTCTGAATGAAACGTGAGGTTAGAATTTATTTTAACAAAAGTGATTGAGTGTGAATGAGAAAAGTATTTAAGGCCAACAACCTTTTTATTATTTGTGACAAAATCTTAAAAGAACAGAAGACAGAAAGGGGATTTCAAGTGAAAATTAATAAAATCACTGATGGGTAATATTGCTTTATACAATAATTTAACTACTATTCTTACACCGTATTGTATTGATTGTATTCACTGGGATATTAATATAATTAAAATAACTATATAATTAAGTCTAAGAAAACAAAAACAACATCAGTATTTATATAACATCTACCCCACATGCTCAATTGAAAGAAACCTTATTGTTGCTGCAAACTTTTATTAATAATTCTGGGCAATTTTCATACTCTGTTCAATATTAATTCATAAACTAATATTTATTGAATGTTTATTACTGGGGGTAAAAGAGTAGCCCTGTTTTCTGTGATTTGGAGGCTGGGAGAAGATTAAATGGACTAAAGTTAGTAATGATGTGCTTAGAAGGAGGAGCTAAGCATCAACAGATGGCAGAACCAGACAGAAAGTTCATGTCTACTAATATTTACTAGTTGTAACCAAATATAGCAACTTCTAAAAGCCTGTGTACAGTGTACTGAAATGTGCCTTTATAATCTGGGGAAAAAAAAAAAAAGGTCCTCAAATCATAGCTGATTTTTTTTTTTTTTGTGACAAAGAATCATTTCATACTACTAATTAAGCTGCTTACAGTAAAATACAGTAAAATGACAACTTTCATAAATTAAATATTGCTTCATATATTAACCCATTTAAAATTCATTAAATCATCTCACTGATGTGTAGAGAGAAATACTCACAGCTTGCAGTTCAAATTTATGTCAACAAAACATAGATGGGTCATATGTACCTACGAAGAGAAAACAAAACAGAAATGAGGGGAGTAGAGAGGAGAGAACAATTTTAATTCCAGAGTGACTGGAACAATGGTTTTGTTTTTAAAATTTTCTGTTTTTTTTTTTTTTTTTTTTTTTTTTTGCTTCAGAGAAGAAGACCGATTTTGTCCTATGAGGAAATCTGCATTTAGAAACTTTAAAAGATAAAGCAACAATACAGTTTGCTTAGCAATCATAGCCTACAATCTTCTGTGAGAGATGGATAAGTTGAAGGTACTAGCAATCTGTTATTTCTGCCTCCTTTAGAAGCAATTAGAACAGAATTTTAGTGCATTAAAACAGAAATGTGGGCTTTTTAATTATGGTAATGACCTAGAAACTTATTGAATATGTCACTACATAAATTCTGTTTTTCATAAAAGTAGGCGTTCTTGTTCTGTAATTGGGCACAATTTTGTGTTTTTTAGATTTCACTGTTAATTTTTTCTATCTCTGAAGGCCTTCTGCTCTGTGTATATTTTTCTTTCATTATGAAGCAGACCACAAAACAAAACCAAAGCTCCTTCTCTTAATGCCCTTTCCTTTGCACTCAAACAAAGAAATCAAAGCAAAATAATTTCTGGAAGGCTATAATCAAGCCAAGGAATGCTGTTTAGAAGGAAGTTTTCTGCGTGAATCTAATGGAAATGGTGAGTTTCGTTCATCCTGTAGCAGACTGAATTCTAATTGTTCTTTCCCAAATGATCTGAGTTTAAAATAACAATTCAGTGACTGCAGTTCTCATTATTTCAGATTTAAAATACTGTAAGCATGTTAAATTGGACTGAGCCTGAAAATTCCTTTTTTGTATGAAAAACATCATACATTTTCATACAAATGTTGTTCATCACAACATTTTCATACAAATAGTCTGATACTCAGAGAATAAACTACTGCTATGATATATAGAAAATCAGGGGATGATAAGAGCAGGAAATCAGTGAATATTTAGGAATAACATCTTGCATTTTCCTCTCAGTTTTTATGCAGTACTTCCACTATTTAATATTCAGACACTCATTTTTTCAGTCTCCTCAGTTTCTTGAAAATGTGGAACAGCAACTCAACATACCAAGACAAAACGTAGAAAGATTTATGATTTTTTGCATAATTACATTTCTTACTGGATTGTTTTCTGTGCACTCATTGTTACAACAATAAATTTTTTTCCTATTATCCTTGATGAAAATTGAAGCTTCCTTCTGCAAAAGTTACATCAATCTATAAACCCTTCATACTTCATATCACTGTGGTTCTGTACTCAAAAAACTTTATAGTTCTAATCTTACTTTCTTCTTCCCTGCTTTTTTTTTTTTTTGTCTGCTTTTCTTTTTCATCTTACAGGACATTAGTATCATACAGCTTATATTGCACTGGTGGGTATACAAGTAAAGCAGCTAAAAGAACATATTTCCTGAATTGCTTTGTAGATAACAAAGAATTCAGTTCATTAGTTCACTAACAATAAAGTCTCATTTTAAAAGGGCACAGAAAATTAAAAAGTACTACCAAATGTCTGAAACACATAAAAGAAAGAAAAAAAAGTCAAATGGAAGGAACAGAGCAATTGTTTTTAAATTAGGTTAATAACAGATGACATGAAAAAAATATGGAAGAAAAAAAGTGGAATGCCACAGTGCAGTACAGAAAATGGGGAAAACAGCTGCTTTCTCCAACACAGGAGTAGTAGGTTGGACTTGATGATCTGAAAGGTCTTTTCCAACTTGAGCAATTCTATGATTCTGTGATTAGCTGCTGAAATAGCTGATTCAAATCAGATAAATGAGTTCACTGCCTTGATAAGGGAAACGGGATCAGGATCGGGATTAGAATAGGGATTCTACACCTAAATAGGCAAGCACAGGCATTTTAAGACTGTAATACTGAGAGAGGGACAAGGATGATGTCAGTGACTGTGACATACTTTGGAAGCTCAGGAAGTCTGAGAAAAAGAAGTAAATGATAATGTAAGCCTGTAAACCTGATAAACTGCACAGGGGTGCATTGCTCAGCTAAAAACAAACAAACAAAAAAACCCAAGTTATTTCAGTGACTCCAGTCAGGAAATCTAATAATACAATAACTTGCATGAGTCCTCCAAAATGCACAAGTTGCAATCAAAATGATATTGCTAAGGAGCAGCTGCATTTATCACATTCCTGGTAAGTGATGGGCAAATCATAAGTAAAACAAAAAACAACAATAAAAGAATAACCCAGTGAGAACAAAAACACAAACATATTTACCCCTCCCAGGACTGAATTTCAAGCAGGGAAATTGCATTAAAATGAGGTGGCTTATTAGAAAGAAATCAAAAGGGAAATTTTAGATATTATCTCCTTGTAAGTGCCTTACTTCAATGGCACAAGAGATTTTCAGTAAAAGCAGGAGCTTTCTTATCAGGGGTAATGGAAAAACGTGTTTCAAAGGTACGTAAGAGAGGAGGTTTGGAACAGAATAACACAGTTATCTATTTAAAAAAATGCCAAAAATAAATGGAAAACACTAAATAGTTTTGAAGGAATCTCCAAAGTAACTGAATTAGAGTGTAGAAATTCAGGCTCAATTCCAGCGTTGTCCAGAGCAGCTCGTTACTGTATGTGTATCCTTCCTCTTTTTGCCCTGATACAGGCTGAGTACTATTCCTCACTTACTTGCAGTATATCTGGCAATATTTTATATAAACCTAGTTCACCATGGGAAAAACTGCAGAATAGAAGAGCCACAGCAACAAAAGAAAAGTGTACATCAATACCAATAAAACAGACAATTTTATGAAAATAACGGTTCTGGCAGCATCTTAGAAAAATAACATAAAGCAAAAGATACACAGGCATCCTGAATTTAGTTATACACTGCCACAGCTACTGCTTTTGCCACTGCTTCACAGTGTATGTATACTATGTCTAAATATTGTGTGTACATTACAATCAGTTTAATAGTGTTACATATCCTTTCTGCATCCACATCAAGATTCAAATTGTAACAACTGTCACTGTATTGCCAGAAGGGAGTTCACATAAATAATTTACAGGTAATCCATAAAATAGAGCACAAGGAACTAAAGAGAGATAACGACAAACAAGTATGCAAGAAAGAAGAATTAAGAGATGTAAGTAGAAAACAAAATTAACTGTCACAAAGAAAGTTATGTGCATGACTGCTGGATGCTTGGGTAAAGATCACAAAATGGATTGCTACCTTTGCTTACCAACACCATAACTATTCCAGGTGACAAAAATAGAAAAGTTAGAAAGTAGAAATATTTTGTAGTTGAGTAAACAAATGGGATAAATACGGTAAGTACATAAACACGTGCATTTGGACAAAAAATACAGAATCATTCTTTAAAGAAGCCAATACGAAGACAGAATAATAAATAGTAAATTTGTAACAAAAGATGATTTTATTAAATATCCCTTTTCAGGTCTGAGAAAGCATAACATTTAAATCATTTAAATATCTTCCACAAATAGGCATGCTTTTTCATAAGCCTATTTTTAAGCCCAAGAAGAGGTTAGCAGCAGTTACTAGAAGCAATTCATGCTGACTCAAAATCGTTGAAAATCCAAAGCAAGACATTTAATACTTCTTTTCAATATCCACTAGGGCAGCTAATACTTGAAGTTGCATAACAATATGATGTTTAATTGGATGTAAATAGTACATTCTTTTTGGCACTTAGGTAAAAAGGAGGCAAAATCCCAGACGGTACTTGAGAAAATCCTGCACCTGATCAGTTTTCTAAAAATGGATCTTTCCTAAAGACTACAAAGCTGATTCCTAATTCTAGCATGTTAGGGCTGAAGTACCACTTTTGTCGTTGAAATGAGTAGGAAGCTATGAAGCCTCAAATAACCTACTTCTGTGAGCAAAATCAGTGCCAAAATGCCAGTGGAAGGATGAACTATTTTAAAGGAACCTTGTTTAGAAAATGTAAAGAAGCAAAATCCTATACGTATGCCAAATTATACTATAGGCTCAGACTGAGCTCACTTTGTCAGCAAAACAGGAACAGCATATCTGTTATTTCTTGTTATAATGTAATAACCTTGTGATTATTTGTTATCACTTAATAACTGTCCTCACCAGTGAAGGATTATTGTTGCAGCCAAAACATGAGTATATGTTATACAAGAGGATTTTTAGGAAAATCGTATGTTAAAATTGCAGAACTAAGATTGCTTGCGTCTAGTACAAGCAAAAACAAATTAATATTTTTTTCCAGATTCTGCTGAAACTTGAATATGACCAGAATTTTAGAATACTTAGAAGATAATTACATTGAAAACTACTGGAAGGAGTTTGAGGGAAGTGTTTAATTTGCAGTTAACGAATGTGCCCCATTAAACAGTGCGCTGTCTATCAATAAAACACCAAATATCACAAGGTAAGAAATTTAACTTTGCTTGAGTAAGAAGGAGACTGCAACTCTACAATCATAAAGAAATCAAGAGTCGGTCAGCCATCTCACTGTATGGACCTCTGGATGAAAGAATAACTGCCTAATTGTGACATATTCTTCCAAATACACTACCTTGAGAGAGAGGGAGCTTGTAACCTTGTCGTTTAATTAAAAGCTGAAAGAGAGAATCTGAAAAAAATGGTAAGTATTTCACTTGCAATTGAAAGTAAATATAACCTTCTATCTTATTACCTCAAGCAAAAAAGGAATATATTGGGAGCAACAAATGACTAAAAGAGCAAACAGCAAAGACCTTTATTGCTACCTCCACAAGCTCCGGCACAGGAGATATGCAAGTTGTCCTTGAGCTCTGCTCTACATTCAAGAACATGGACACACTGTCCATCTGGCAAATCACATCAGCAAGTACAATTTTACTGATAATTGGCAAACTCAGATGATGAAAAGAAATAAATTACCTGTGGAGATATGGTCAAATCAACCTGGACATACGGTCAAATCCACCTACTAAGAAAGCAGACTTTTCTCTCGATATCCAAAGTTGCTCAA